ATATCCTGTGTTCATGGATTAAAATAATTAAAATTGTTAAAATAGTGATACTACCCAAAGTGATATACAGATTCAATGTAATCTCTAACAAAATTCCAATGAAATTTTTTGTAGAAATAGGAAAAACAACCTTAAAATTCATATGGAACCACAAAAGACTATGAATAGCCAAAGCAATCTTGAGAAAGAAGAGCAAAGTTGGAGGAATCCCACTTCTTGATTTCAAATTATATTACAAACAGTATGGTACTGGCATAAAAAAAGACACATAGACTCACTGGAGAGAGTCAAGTGCCCAGAAATAAACCCAAGCATAAATGGTCAATTGATTTTCAACAAGGGTGTCAAGATATGCAACGGGGAAAGGATAACCTCTTCAATAAATAGGACAGCATGTGGGAAAACTGAATATCCACATGCAAAAGAATGAAACTGGACCCTCATCTTACACTATACACAAAAATCAACTCAAGGTGGATTAAAGACTGAAATGTAAGATCAGCGACTATAAAACTCCTAGAAGAAGACACAGGGAGAAAGCTCCTGACATTAGCCTTCAAAATGATTTTTTGCGTGTGACACCAAAGGCTCAAGCAACAAAAGCAAAAATAAACCAGTGGGACTACATCAAATAAAAAAGCTTCTGCACCGCAAAGGAAACATTCAACAAAGTGAAAAGGCAACCTACAGATGGGGATTCAAATATCTGCAAGCTATGCATCTGATTAAGGGGTTAATATCCAAAATATATAAGGAACTCTTACAACTCAACAGCAAAAAGCAAAGAGTCTGATGAAAAAATGGGCAAAGGACCTGAATAGACATTTTCCCAAAGAAGACATAGAAAAACACTGTCTTCAAGACAGAAGTTTAAGTTTTAGATTGCAGGGTACTTGGATCCTTCCAGCCTGGGTTGGCAGAGTGTGGTCTCAGGTTCCCAATATTCTGAGCCTGGGTCCCTCAATCTCAAACTCAGTGGGCAAGGAGTCTCCACAAGCCACCTTCAAGTCAGCCGTGTGTGAACAGTTGCCTGTGAGCATGACTGTGCACTGGGAATTGCTCTATAGAAAGCTCGGCAAGGTGGAAACTTACAGCAAAAATTTCAGAACACATAAAGCGTATGGTCTGACAGCAAAGGAACAAGGTCTTAAAAAAAAAAGAACAAATTAAGCTATTAATTTTTAAAAGTTCCCCAAATAAGCTATTAAGTCCTTCAAAGCACATACACAAATATTTTCCAACCTCCCTCAACAAAAAAAACAAGCTCTACAAAATCATCCCTCTTGACATAGCTCAAAAAACAAACCAAACAAGTAAAACAAAAAACATCAACTTGGTGTTGTGATAAAAACGAATCTTTCTGAAAAAACCTAGAGTAGTGAGGTGAACAGTGCTTCCTAGAAATAGGCTAACTACAGTTCCAGTTCCAAAAATTCACTAATTGGGCATGATTTGGTGAGATCAGTCTTTCTCTCTTCACATCTCACAGGGAAAAATAAAAAAAGAGGTCAAGAGTACCAGTCTTAACTCTTACGAGTCAGGAAAGAACAGAGAGAAGGAGCCTTAGTAACCTTTTACTTCAGAGGCTGAGCGTGTAAGCCTGCTGCTGCAGGCCTGGTATTTACCTCTGTCTATCAGTTTGGAAGGAATCATTATTGCGCTGTCATATGACTGAGAGATAGAAACTCCACCGGTATTTTAAAAAGTGACAAGATATCTGTTTCACTGAACAATTCCAGAAGATAGTCTTCATTTTAATATAAAATGTTCCAGATTTACATACCTGAATAGAAAAAAGACACCAACATAGAAAAAATATACTGCATGCAACAGACTTTTCTCCTTGGTCAAATTTGAAATAAAAGATTTGAAGATCCAAAGCTACCTTAATGCAAATATCTGCCTGTTGCAAGTATACTGTTTGATGAAATTGGCATACATCAAGTACAATTAGAAAGCTTATTTATAATGAAGAAATACACAATTCTGCATCTTAATGGGGATGACAGTTACAGCTGATGGTTGTTAATTAACGTTAACTTCTTTTGCTCTGGGTCTCAGAGATTTCTTATAAGGTCTGTATGCTGGCAATGGACACAGCTAATTCTGCAAGGTACAAAAGGGGTAATTATCAGCAACATTTGTGCTCCTAACAAATTCATTGGTAACTTGCCCAGCTCTGGCTCCACATTGGAGACCTGAGGATCAAGTAGAATTGGTAAACTCTGACTCAGTGTCATGGCAGGAAAGGTATTTGTTCAACTTTCTGAGCAAAGGCTCACCTACCCACCAGGTGTTCGGAATGACAGAGAAAAGCCCCTCCAGTTCTCTCTCCTGGTGGAATGGTCTGTGGGTGTTGCCTGTTCCAGGCAAGCAGAAATGCAAGGCATTGTTTAGTTCAGTGGTGCCACCCTCCTGTACCGAGATGCCCACTGTGCTGACTTTCTTGGACAGCTCAGGGGTGTGTGATCAGTATTGGAGGCCGGAAGTAAGATGGAAAGAGAGAAGCACTGCAGGTCTCAGCACAGAAAACTATTATAAAGCCCTCTTTGCTTGTGCTGTAAATTACATATTTATTTTGCTAGCATGAGATAGATGAATATTTCCACATACAAAGGTGCCCTGCTAAAATCAGGATAAGTGATATTAATGTCCTCTGGTCAGTATTATTGAACCTCGAAAGCAATAAACTTTATGCGTCAATAAATATTACATTTGCAACATAATTAACATTCCTTTACTGTCTCTAGCACTTATTACACATTGTAACCACAAGTCTACAATACATTATTCACATTTGGGGTGTCACCAAGTGATGGATTGCTGTAGGAGAGGCTGTCCTTTAAATAAATCAACAAATAAAAATGCAAATGTTAACATTTTCAGCCACAACTTCTCCCATCTTGAATGCAGAATGAAAATTTCACATTACATTGACACGCAGCAGAGAGAACAATTAACAACGTACACTGTGAATGAGAAAGATGACTTTGCCAAGCTAGGTTTTATCACCTGCACATGGACCCACATGGGACTCTTATAGATGCCAGCACTTTTCAGAGAACAAAGGAAACCTGTCGCCCACTGGCATCTGTCCCATCCCCATCCTTTTCTGCAGGTCTTGAAAATTCTTGGAATTTAGGGTGGACAGGGAAAGGACTTTTATTCTTGTTCTCCTCAGTACTTTCAAAGGTTTCTTGGAATGAAGAACAACAGGCTTTCCTCTTGCGTTAAGAGTTTATATGTAAAAGCAGTCTATAAAAAATGCCTTTTCTACACTTTGAAATAAAAATAAATCAAATAATCTTGATTCTGAAGTCTGGAAAGCAACCACTGTGCCTTCCTGGTAACTGATTTTCATAGTACTGAATCTTATTCTTTCAACTCTGCACTTTGTATAATAGACCTATGATAGGCCATCAAGCACTTCTAAGGATAAAATCTGGTGTGCTGCACATTGTTTTGTTTAGCCAAATGCTCATTATTTAAGAAGCTTCTGAGAATCTGTATTTAGCTGAACTGCAGCATTAAGAACTAATAGATAAAGAATCCTTTTTTTAAGGTTTGTAGATATGAGTCTTCACAGCAATTTTAACCTGGGCTTGTAAAACTCTACAAAGTTGATATGGCCATTTCAGAAAATGTGTACTGAGGATGTACTATAAAACCCTTACTGGGGAAACATTTTATTCTTCTTTTTCATGCTTTTCTCTAAACTGAAGTGCAATCATCAAAAACACATTAGAGTAGTGTTAAAGATCTCATTGAAGATCTTAGTGTCAAAGATAGGAAAATTCATTAAGTTTGAAAATCCAGATTGTCTTTCCTCTTTACCTATAACTCCTCCAAAGAAATCCCTCAAGATGAGCTAGGATGGATCCTCTCTGAGCACAAGCGTTCATCCACAATGTTAAGTGGTCCAAGGTGGAAGCCCCATCAACCTTTCAGAGCCACAACTCACTGTAGGTCTTTGGCAAAATGCCATGCATGGTAGCATTAAAAATAAAAGAAAGGAGTAATGGACAAAGAATGTGGTAAACTAGTTAAATTTTCTTTTGACTGTGGGTGGCTTCCAAAATAGGGATGTTGTCATTGTCAACTATTATAATATTTAAGATCATGGGCTTTGGAGTCTGAAATGCTGGCTCTACCTCTTACTAGCTATGTGACCTTATTAGGCAAGTCACTCAATCTCTCTGAACCTTAGTTTCCCGATTTTTAAAATGAGTATGATAGTAGTACCACCTCATAGGCTGTGATGAAGATTAAATCAGATAATGCGTACAAAGGGCTGGGCACATAGTAGATGCTTAATAGATGATAGCCATTATTATTATCCTCTGTGTTAAGAGTCATTTCCCAAAAGTTCTTAATTAAGTCTTAAAATCTGTATTTATCTGATAAGATGCTAGGAATTTAAGTGCTCAATCATATCCCCAAGGAAACATAAACCAAGCCCCTTTGGTGTTGATGTGTATATATTCAGCCTTAAATGTATAATATGGGAGTTGGCTTATTAGATATGAGAGATTTTAATAACATAGTTCTTTTCCTGACTCCAGAAAAGGCTGATCAAAGTATTAACTCCTCAAATGTCTCTGGTATAAGTAAATGTTGACAGTCACTTAACTGTAGTACAAAACCCACTACAGTTTTTAATATCAATGAATTCAGTTAGTTAAGCTTACAGTCCAAGTGTATAACCATTCCATGATAAGTTGGGAAGGACCTGCTGCTAAACAGATTTTTTGATGAAAGGCAGGATTAGCTTTGTGTTTCTGTGGAAATCCTTGTCAATTGCCATTATCAATTAAGGAAAAGCATGCATAAAGGAAAGGGCTCCATGAGTTCAACCTGGTCATATCTAGATGCTTCCAAATAAGGGCCTCTCTCTTGAGTAGGAGGCATTAACAATTGTCAAGGTTTTTCAATACTTATTAAATAACTCAAAAAAAGTTCTTATCTGCAGAATATTAAAACAAAGAATCCCTGAAACTTACCGGGGAGTGTCATGTTGCAATGATGCTGTGGTTGTGATTACAAGCTCCTTTTGGCTTCCTGTTGTCATAGGAGATGTGGACGCATCTTTTCTAACTTCTGCCATTGTCCCTGCATGAACAATAAAGGAAATAATTTGGGCACTTAATAAAAGGAAAAGTCTATTCTGAGTAATATATTCGTATAGGAATCCCCAAGCTTTAGAAGCACGCCATTTTCCCCCATGAAATGAAACAATGGCAGATGGAAAACTCGGTGAGTTGTTTTGGTTTTGTAAACATCAGTGATCCATAATATCTTGTTTTTAAAAAAGTGCATTTGTGCAATAACAGACTAACTAGAGATTTTGTTTTTAAACCTGATGGCCTATCAAAGTCCTGCTGATTTGGGTTTATTGTAAAATGCCCAAGGAGGTAGACTGGTTTATTTTGTTCCTTTTAACTATCAATATCATAAGAAAAGTTCTTTCCTCTCTTTGACAAAATTGATAATTCCAGCACTTTGTACTTCTACACCCTCCAAATTAAATTGATCCTAACCCCAGAACTTTCAAGGTAGACATAAATCTTGAATATTTCTTTTAAAGAACTCAACATGTAAGACGCTAAACAAGTAAGATGCAAAAACAAGTAAGATGTTAAAACAAGTAAGATGCTCAACTAACCATTCTAGGGCTGATTTGGCCTTTGTTCCTTTCTAGCAAGAAATGTTTAGTTGATAATTACTTTCTTCTTCTGGAGTGCTCAAGACTAAGATGGCATGGACAGAAAGACCTTTTGTTTGTTTTATAATTATTATTATTTCTAATAATAAGAAATTTATCCTCCTTTTTAAAAAAAATTAACAAAATTGCCAACTTTTTATTTATTAAAAATACAATAAGGCTTTTTCACATATCAAATTCTCATGTTATAGCTGGAAGAGACCTTGGACATCATCTCATCCTGCTTCTTATTTGATAGATGCTTTTTGTAGGATGAGCTTCAGTAATGTTTTATTTTTTAAAAAAATTTTATTGGAGTATAGTTAATTTACAATGTTGTGTTAGTTTCTGCTGTACAGCAAAGTGAATCGGTTATACATATACATATATCGACTCTTTTTTAGATTCTTTTCCCATATAGGTCATTACAGAGTATTGAGAAGAGTTCCCTGTGTTATACAGTAGGTCCTTATTAGTTATCTATTTTATATATAGTAGTGTATATGTCAATCCCAATCTCCCAATTTATCTCTCTTCCCTGCCTCCCCACTTTCCCCCTTGTAACCATAAGTTTGTTTTCTACATCTGTGACTCTGTTTCTGTTTTGTAAGTTCATTTGTACCATTTTTTTAGATTCCACATATAAGTGATATCATATGATATTTGTCTTTATCTTTCCGACTTGCTTCACTCAGTATGACAATCTCTGGGTCCATCCATGTTGCTGCAAATGGCATTGTTTTGTTCTTTTTCATGGCTGAGTAATATTCCATTGTATATATGTACCACTTCTTCTTTATCCATTCCTCTGTCAATGGACATTTAGGTTGCTTCCATGTCCTGGCTCTTGTAAACAGTGCTGCAATGAACACTGGGGTGCATGTATCCTTTTGAATTATGGTTTTCTCAAGGTATAAGCCCAGTAGTGGCATTGCTGGGTCGTATGGTAGTTCTATTTTTAGGTTTTTAAGGAACCTCCATAGTGTTCTCCACAGTGGCTGTATCAAGTTACATTCCCACCAATAGCGCAAGAGGGTTCCCTTTTCTCCACATCCTCTCCAGCATTGGTTATTTGCAGACTTTTTGATGATGGCCATTCTGATTGGTGTGAGGTGAGGTATCATTGTAGTTTTGATTTGCATTTCTCTAATAATTAGCAGTGGTGAGCAGATTTTCATGCGCTTTTTGGCCATCTATATGTCTTCTTTGGAGAAATGTCTATTTAGGTCTTCTGCCCATTTTATGATTGGCTTATTTGTATTTTGATAACGAGGTGCATGAGCAGCTTGTGTATTCTGGAGATTAATCCCTGGTCAGTTGCTTCATTTGCAAATGTTTTCTAACATGTTTTGGGTTGTCCTTTCTTTCTGTTGATGGTTTCTTTTGCTGTGCAAAAGTTTTAAGTTTAATCAGGTCCCATTCATTTATTTTTGTTTTTATTTTCATTACTCTAGGAGGTGGATCAAAAAAGATATTGCTGCGATTTATGTCAGAGAGTGTTCTGCCTATGTTTTCCTCTAAGAGTTTTATAGTATCTGGCCTTACATTTAGGTCTTTAATCCATTTTGAGTTTATTTTTGTGTATGGTGTTAGGGAGTGTTCTAATTTCATTCTTTTACATGTAGCTGTCCAGTTTTCCCAGCACCACTTACTGAAGAGACTATCTTTTCTCCATTGTATGTTCTTGCCTCCTTTGTCATAGACTAGGTGACCGAAGGTGCATGGGTTTACCTCTGGACTTTCTACCCTGTTTCATTGATCTGTATTTCTGCTTTTGTGCCAGTACCATACTGTTTTGATTACTGTAGCTTTGTAGTATAGTCTGAATTCAGGGAGCCTGATTCCTCCACCTCTGTTTTTCTTTCTCAAGATTGCTTTAACTATTCAGGGTCTTTTGTGTTTCCACACAAATGTAAAATTTTTTATTCTAATTCTGTGAAAAATGCCATTGGTAATTTGATAGGGATTACATTGAATCTGGAGATTGCTTTGGGTAGTCTAGTCATTTTCACAATATTGATTCTTCCAATCCAAGAACATGGTATATCTCTCCATCTGTTAGTGTCACCTTTAAGTTTTTTTTCATCAGTATCTTATAATTTTCTGAGTACAGGTCTTTTGCCTCTTTAGGTAGGTTTATTCCTAGGTATTTTATTCTTTTGGATGCAATGGTAAATAGGATTGTTTTCTTAATTTCTCTTTCTGATCTTTCATTGTTAGTGTATAGGAATGCAAGAGATTTCTGTGTATTAATTTTGTATCCTGCAATTTTACCAAATTCATTGATGAGTTCTAGTAGTTTTCTGGTGCCATCTTTAGGATTTTCTATGTAAAGTATCATGCCCTCTGCAAACAGTGACAGTTTCACTTCTTCTTTTCCAGTTTGTAGCCCTTTTATTTCTTTTTCTTCTCTGATTGCTGTGGCTAGGACATCCAGAACTATATATCTTCTTCATGGATTGATCCCTTGATCATTATGTAGTGTCCTTCACTGTCATTTCTAATTTAAAATTCTATTTTGTCAGATATGAGTATTGCTACTCCAGCTTTCTTTTCATATCCATTTGCATGGAATATCTTTTTCTAACCCTTCACTTTCAGTCTATATGTGCCTCTAGGTCTGAAGTGGATCTCTTGTAGACAGCATATATATGGGTCTTGTTTTTGTATCCACTCAGCCAGTTTATGTCTTTTGGTTGGAGCATTTAATCCATTTACATTTAAGGTAATTATTGATATGTATGTTCCTATTGCCATTTTCTTAATTGCTTTGGGTTTGTTTTTGTAGGTCTTTTTTCTTCCCTTCCTCTTTTGTTCTCTTGTGGCTTGATGACCATCTTTAGTATTGTGTTTGGGTTGCTTTTTCTTTTGTGTGTGTGTTATCTATTGTAGTTTTCTGGTTTGCATTCCCCATGAGCTTTTGAAATAGCAGTCTATATATATACAAGGTTGTTTTAAGTTGCTGGTCTCTTCATTTCAAATGCAATTCCCATTTCCTGCATTTGTACTCTCCTCTGCTCATGGCTGCTGATTTAGATATCATATTTGTGTGTGGATGATTTCCTCCTTTTACTGTATTTTTGCCTCTACCAATGAGCTTTCCCATTTGTGATTTTCTTATTTCTAGATGTGGCCTCTTTATTTTCCTCCCTGCCTAGAGAAGTTCCTTTAGCATTTGTGGTAAAGCTGGTTTGGTGGTGCTGAATTCTCTTAGCTTTTGCTTCCCTGTAAAGCTTTTGATTTCTCTGTTGAATCTGAATGAGAGCCTTGCTGGGTAGAGTATTCTTGGCTGCAGGTTTTTCCCTTTCATCACTTTAAATATACTGTGCCACTCCCTTCTGGCCTGCAGAGTTCCTGCTGAAAAGTTAGCTGATAACATTATGGGGATTCCCTTGTATGTTATTTGTTGCTTTTTCCTTGTTGCTTTTAATATTTTTCCTTTGTATTTAATTTTTGACAGTTTGATTAATATAATACAATATAATATTATAATTAATATATAATCTCAGGCCCTTTCTCTTTCTCTTCTTCTTCTGGGACCCCTATAATGTGAATATTGGTGAGTTTAATGTTGTCCCAGAGGTCTTCATTTCTTTTCATTTGCTTTTCTTTATTCTGTTCTGCAGAAGTGATTTCCACCACTCTGTCTTCCAGCTCACTTATTCGTTCTTCTGCCTCAGTTATTCTGCTATTGATTCCTTCTAGTATATTTTTCATTTCAGTTGTTCATCTCTGTTTGTTTGTTCTTTAGATCTTCTATCTCTTTGTTAAACATTTCTTGTATCTTCTCAGTCTGTCTCCATCCTTTTTCCGAGATTTTGGATCATCTTCACTATCATTACTCTGAATTCTTTTTCAGGTAGATTGCCTATCTCCTCTTCATTTAGTTGTTGTTGTAGGTTCTTTATCTTGCTTCTTCGTCTGCAACATATTTCTTTGTCATCTCATTTTGTCTAACTTACTGTGTTTGTAGTCTCCTTTCTGCAGGCTGCAGGACTGTAGTTCCTCTTGCTTCTAGTGTCTGCCCCCTGGTGGGTGAGGTTGGTCCAGGGTCTTGTGCAGGCTTCCTGGTGGGAGGGAATGGTGCTTGCCCTTTTGTGGGTGGAGTTGTGTCTTGTCCCTCTGGTGGGCAAGGCCATGTCGGGAGGTGTGTTTTGGGATGGCTGCAAGCTTAGTACGACTTAGTACGACTTGGACAGGCAGACTGTCTGCTGATGGGTGGGCTGTATTCCTGTCTTGCTGGTTGTTTGGCCTGAGGCATTCCAGCACTGGAACCTGCAGGCTGTTGGGTGGGGCTGGGCCTTGGTGCTGAAATGGGGACCTCTGGGAGAGCTCATGCCAATTAATATTCCCTGGGGCCTCTGCTACTAGTGTCCTCACCCCCACGGTGAGCTACATCCAACCCCTG